CGATCTATTCGGTCGGACGTTCGAAGAATGGGGCAGTGAATGGTAATAATGCCGAAGATTAAATAAAGAATCGCTTATTTGTGGAGAAACCTTCGAATGGCACAGAAACTGTGACGATTGAAGACAGTTTGTGCTTCTCATAATCTCGAGCTAACAAACTGGGTCGACAAGGTCATTGAACGCCTTATCGAAACGATTTTTCGCATGATGCAGCGGCGCTTGCATGGAGCAAAATTATTTTGCTGGACAGTTCCAGCAATGCCAACAACGAGTAAACAAATGGTTGGCGGTTCGATTACCCGAGGTGCCAAAATTTTGCATCTCTGTAATTTCCAGTTCCTGGCGCTCTATGTTTTAGCCTTCTCAAACAAACAGTCAAAAAAAAGCCCGAACGAGGATCAGAAGTATGAACAGGACCCCAATACCAACACAAGTCCGCTGGCTTTTCACAACTATTTGGAAAATATGACTCTTTCGATATATGATTAAGTTGGTCTTCTCCTATTCTGGATCTCTGTTTTCCACCTGTAGATCAGCCAAAAGTTCGGATCGAAGTTGAATAACATCAGAACAATATGATAACCTACAAAGGAAATATACTAATGCTTATTCTAGTGCCTGTTTGAGTCTGGACTGGTGTTTAATTTTTTTTTGTTTTCGCTATGCAGTTTATTGCCGATAATAATGAAGTGAAGTAAAGTAAAAGTGTGTTGTTAGTATTTACCATCGATCCCGACTTCTTGCCCTTTATAAGGCTTCTCCTTTTGAAGTTTTTTGCAGCTGAGAATATCAAGCTTCTGGAAAAGTTTGTCTCATTTAGTGCCCATTATAGATACGTGATGCTGCTGAACAAGATGAAGCAGCGTCTCGGCGTATGGAAGAAGACGCGTTCGATCGCGAAAGGCAATCGCAACGACAACGTCAACAGCAGCTGAATTTGAATGAATTCAAAGAACGACAACAGGTTCGTGTTTCTCGATATTTCATTTAAATGTCACGTCTTGGTGACTATTCGATAGCAATTCGTTCCGTACATAGCGAAATCATACTAGGTTTTTCTGGGGACAATCCCGTTGGTCGTCATCAACTGGGTGTGGAGAGTTTTGTGGGTTTTGTGAACTTATCAATCGAATGCTGAGGCGAAGGTTCTACGATCACTGCCGGCGCAGTTCGGCGAGGGGGGGGGGGGCATTTTGCACTTTCGTTGCTTCACTAGTTCCGGTTTACAAGTCTCACTCTGGTGAAACCTGTGAACTCTTGTGAAGCTGGAGCAAGCTCGTCAAGCCACCATGGTAAAACCTGTCAACTCAAGAAAGGGATCTCTAGATGTGTCAGCACCTCGAGCCGAACTGCCGCTCAGTGCCAAAGACTCGCGCTACAGGTTCTAGTCTCACTCAATGCTTAAAAGCGTGACCATGTGCTACCTGTAATTACTTCCAGAGTTCTGGGCTAAGTTTAGATCTGACTGATCGCTCAAAAATGTGACCATATGCTATCCTTATTTCTTCGTGGTTCAGGCTTTACAACAACTCGAACAAGACATCGGTGATGTCAACCAAATCTTCGCCGATTTAGCGCGAATAGTACATGATCAAGGCGATATGGTTGACAGTATTGAAGCAAATGTGGAACACGCTCAAATTCACGTAGAACAGGTTTGTGCCTAATACTTGGAGATGAACTGTGCACTGAACTCCGTGAATCTCGCTCCTTGCCACGTGGGTGAATGAATCCGTAGCTGCAGTAGCGTGCCACTTTCTCCGGTCAAAAGACAGACCTAAGCTGGGGGTGGCAGCACCCGGGTGGTCGTACCTGGACTCCATCCGAGCACATAGGTATTATCGCCTTTGTACGCTCATTTCCTGCGTGCGTTCAACTGGGGCAGATGTTTTACACTTGTACGGCCGCAAAATTTTATCTGCACATGGTAGAAACCATCCTCGGAGGAGTCTACATTTTGTCTTCGAGTATGTATTTTTCTGCCCTTGCGAGAACTTCTAGCTCTGGAATTCGTGGGTCGTGCTCGAGTATGTGAGTTGAATCCCTTGAAAAAAAATAGAAGCCGTTTCGACTCCTTCTAAGAAAACTGCAGTGCAAGTGATGTAATTGAACTAATCAAATCCACAATCCCCAACTGCTGTTTTTTGCGAGAATAAGCAGTGCTTTTGACAGCTAGCGGTACCATAATGCAGCTGACGGTCGTGTAAAATATGAAGCGCAAAAAATATGTGAAATATGATCATATACGAATTCCCATACCATGTTGGCAACTGGATCTTCCTTTTTTCTACCTTCTTTTTTACTTCCGAACATGTTTTGTGAGGATGTGTTAGAATACAATGGCTTTAAAATTGCTTTAATTTGAAGCCATTCTACACTTATGACACATTCCCTTTGAAAAGCTATGTTCAGTCTCATCGCAGCTGTCCTCAGCTGAAGCCTCGGTAACATAACCATCAGTAACAAATCTCGGTCTGCATCTTGTATCTTCTCACTGTTGTATTAAATGTTATCATAATCGCAGGCTTCATTACAAGGTTTCCCACCACTACTGCTGTTTACTTGTCTGCTCACCCTGCTACCACTGGAAGTGACCTGAAACTCGCTGCTCAGCCCATGAAAATCCCATGAACCGCGAACGAGTACCCCTGCAATGCTCGCACTTCTTGGCGTTGACGAGAATTTTTCGAAAAAGATTCCATCCCCCTCCCCCACCCTCCTCCTCCTCCCCCTCACGATCCCCTTGTCCGGTACGACCTCTCACATCATGTCTATCACCGCAACAAATCTTTCTGATATTTGCCTTCGAGCGGAGAGGGAGGGTGGGTTGGGGGTGGTGGTTAACACCTCCGATCAACTGCCAGAAACAGTAGTTTGCAGCGCCGCCAACCACTGAAAGTAAACTGCGTGATAGCGAACATTCAATTTGGACGATTTTTTCGCGAGACGAATTATGCACGAGCCCTTCCATCCAGGAACCAAAAACGACTACCCTCCATCAAAGTGTTGCGTGCCTTTTGCGATTGCTGTTCTCGAAAACTTATTTGCTGCAGATCTCGTCATTCGCCAAAACTTTATAAACAAATTCAGGAGCTGTGAAAGGTTCCGCTTTGTTTAGTGTGAAGGGGATTCAAGAAAGAGAAAGTAATAGTATCAAATTTGGATCCTGATTGGAGAAGTACAATTTGTCTATTCGTTTTTGTTCAGTTTTCGTTCTTTGCTGTGCTCTCCATCGGTGTCCTCGACATGCTGCCAGCCTGCAGACAATTTGTAAATTCCCTTCTAGTAGATGCTTGAAGACTTGCTATCAACGAACAGCTGAAGGTTATCCTGAGGTCACCTTCATCAACGAAGCCAGAGTCTTTCCAGAGAGTCAGAGATCGACAGAGTCGAGACAGTGTCAAGACTGTAAGGATAAAAACCGTCCATTAGAGACTGCGTCTCTAATTCGAGTAATTCTAGTTCGAGTTACCTCTATATCCCTCTCAGATCAGCTGCGGCTCGATCCAGCTCTTTACACTACATCTCAGCAGTAACAAAGGGTGTGGAAATAGCTCCTGACAAACGATTCTTGTCATTGCACTAGCAACACAACGTGATCTTCTCGAGCTCCCGTCGAGGCGTTCGGACTCCCTTTTCCCATAGCTGGGGCCGTCGTTTTTTCAGGTAACTGGCGCAGAAGATCTTTCTCTAGTCTTCTGTGTGCACATAGGTCCGATTGAGATACCTAGAAGTGAGGAGAGTTGTAGATGTCAAGCCTCAGTTGCTTGAGGTAAAAGGTCAGAGTGTGAGGCAGAGGTAGAACACCGCCAACCATCAAGGCGGGGGAGGGAGGGGGGGGGAGGGGTGGAGGACATTGTGGTAGAACATGAAGCACAGATTGGTAATCTATAGTGTTGAGCTAACCGAGGCAGGGATAGCCTCGTGGTTAAGGGTATAGTCTCATCTCACTCTGAGCAGCGAGTTCGATCCCTGTCGATGCATGAAGCTATGTCTTGCAACAATTATAAAAATGGTGGTGATACCAGCGTCAGGGTCAGGTTTACAACAAAAACGATTAGAAGTCGCAAATTTATCAGTTTTGATCGAGAAAGTGGCGCCGCCTAGCAAAAACAGCGGACCCTGCAACGGCGAGGGATTAACGTCACGGAGAGGAAATTTTGGGCTAGAGGACAGTTAGATTATATTGCCCACTCTCTAATGTATCCCAGCAAATACTGCCTAGCCTGATATGATTCTGATTCTTCCCATTAATTCTTAGTTGATGCAACTAAAAAAAATATTGCAGGGTTCCACAAACATTCAGCAAGCTGTGTATTATAATCAGAAAGCGCGTCAGAAGAAAATGCTTCTCTTCGCGTTCGTTGTGATTCTTTTCCTTATCATTGGATTAACTATCTATCTCGCTCGCTAAGAACCTCTGATAATGTCACTTGCTTTCTGTATTGCGTTTCCTATTTTTCTTTTTGTCTTTTCCAACGCTTTTTTGTATCATTCATCAGCTTATTCTTTTAGTTCTATGCTTTAATGGTTGTGATAATGGTTGGTGGTGGGCGTGAGTACAGAATGACCCCACTTTTCATTTCTTCGTACCATTAATGCCTCACTTTTACGAGCTTCATGTTCCTTTAAAGCCATAGATACCGTTCAACACTGGCGTTTTCATTCGGCTATGTTTTATCGCCAGTTCTTGGCACAAAATTTTCAGAATTGTAAGCATTAGACTACGTGTGTTATTGTAATTACAATTGTCGCGTTTAGAAGAACTGGTGATTCACGGAGGATTGCTTTCAGTATGCCTATATCTTTATACTATTTTAATCTACTGTAAAGTCGGAACTCGGTGCATAAGTTTTATATGAAAGTTGACTTTTAGAACATTAAGAATTTCTTTGTAACATTTCAGTTGTATTTTTTGGCTGTTCTATTCTAATCTCTTCGTCATGACGTGAATGAATCGATTCAACTCGAGTAATATGGATGTTTTCGACATTTTATGTTAGCTATAGCCTACGATAGCGTAACATGGCGAACCAGGAGCTCCAAGCTTGAACCTTTTAGAAGGCAAGCTGGACAGGATTGCAGGGGCGGATGGTTGTCGCCAACGTCATAGATGAAAGGGCTGAGTGGAGATGTGGCCAAACGCCGCCCTTTCACCAATGGCGCTGTAACACCCCCGCCCCTCCGGCAATCGTGCCAACTGCCGTCAAGGGGAAAAAGCTGTGGAGAAGTATTACCGTCTCTGATGTTTCGGGCCACAGTCGTTATCGGAGGACGGAAAGGGACGTCCCAGCAATGCGTGTGTATAACCGCGCCGATTCTCCTCCTCTCGCAACAGCTCTCTTTTATTAGGTTTCCAACGGAAAGCTTCTCATGCGTTTGGGTGTTTCCCTTTAAACGCTCGTTAACTTCTTATACTGATCGTATTCAATCGAAATAGGCCAGCCATTCGAACACTTTTTGCCAATGTGACAGCCCCGTGCGAGAAATCCCATCAAAATAAAAAACTGGGTGGTCGAAGAGCTCACGAAATCCACTAAGGCTTTTTTGCCTGGTCCTGATTGATGAAGTATTTTCCAGCAAGGGAGTTCTGAAAATGTTAGAAAAGGTGATAGTCGGTTGGCGAAAGGTCTGAATATGGCGGTTGAGGTAGAGGCTTCAACCCCAAATTCTTTCAATTTAGGATAATGGAATTTGTGAAACATCTGTGGGCCGGGCGTTGTTCATGGCTAGAATCGGATCCCTTCTTTTGATTATAGTGTTGGCTTGATCTGACAACTTGATTCGGTAGCAATTAGTCGAATTTCTTTCTACCGAGTAGGCGGTTCTGCCTGTGGATGGTTGGCCTGTGTTAAAAAGTTATATTTGGTAGTGATCACACCAGCCGATGACCACCAAGCCGTGACCAGAATCTTTTTTTCGTGAGGGTTCGGCTTTGAAAATTACCTCGGTGGTTCGTCGAAATCCAACCACTGTCCGGAACAGTCTCCTGGTTATCTATTACGACGCCATTTTTTCATTGTCACAGGTGATATGATTCGGCCCAAAAACAGGTCGTTTCTGCTGCGCAAAAGCAATGCAGAAGGAACCTCGAGACGTGCCGATTCCTGCCGGTCACTCCGATTGTGGGGCACCCAATTGTCGAGTTTTTCACCTTCCCAATGCGTTCCAGACCATCTGCAACAGTGGATTTGCCAAGGCCTAGCTCTTCTGCTATCTCTCGAACTGTTTGGGATGGGTCAGCCTTCAAAATCCCCCCTAAATCCTCGTCAGATATTGCTTTAGGTCGACCGCTATGAGGTTCATCTTCAAGGCTGAATCTCCAGAACGAAATTTGTTGAGCCATTGCCGCACAGTGCTTTCTCTAGCACTATTGGGCCCCCACACCTGGTTAATTTGTTGAGCTGTTTCGATTGCGGATTGCCCCAATTTATAGTCGAAGAAAAAAATCGTCCGAAGTGCTCTTTTCACATGCTTGAAAAAATCTTAAAAAAGGGGGTTTATCAAGCAATGGTGAAACGGCAATTATACCATCCAGATAGCGCAAGAAATTCTCTACAGGATGTGCTACTGAGAAGCAAGTCGGAGTGTGTTTTTAATTCAGCAGTGAATGTACAAAAAATAGGTGCACAAAACGCTGAGAACTTTCCGGACAACCTAATACCTG